GGGTGCTAGCCACAGCTGAGGCAGTGGCAATACGTTCAGCAAAACCCGTTCTCTGCTGTCAAAAGACGCTGGTATATTGGAGTTTCTCTCCCGTGGCCGACTGCACACAAGGATCGCACACGGCGTCAGAAGTCACTGGGTTACGAGACACACACGCCAGCTGTCACGACGTCAGAAGCTACTCAACCTAAAACCATACTACCTACAGCCACAGAAAACACGCCGTGCGACCACGCTGCTCGCATTCACAGGAAGCACGCCTCGCGTCTGACGTCGACCGTGAGAAGGTACCTCACCAATCCTCACGTATGACAAACCAACGCCCTCGGCATGCTGAGTCCGGCACGCAGGAGGCAAGGCAACGGCTAGATGAATAATTACCCCTTCCCCTCCACCTCAAGAACGATATAAGCACTGTGCAGAACTGCTTGCTTTACTCGCATATATTCCATGTCATTGAAAAGGCATGAAGTGAATGACCGAGAACAGCTGTTTGCCAATACCGATCAGCGGATGTACCGTGAGGCTACACCCATGCCCAGTAGTACAGGCGAACGCGTACGCCGAATTCACCTTGTAAAACAAAGCCTTTCAGTGGGGTCTGCCCACTCATAACTGCAGAGATTGGGATGCCACGGATAGACAAATTACAGTAATGGAGAGTGAAGTGTGGGGTCAACTTCGGAAACAGTACCGTACGATGGCTGTAGTAACACGGCCGGTTATTGGGGCAATCGTCCGACGTTAACAACACTTTTAGCTAACACAAGGATTTTGAGCTGTGAGCGTGATCATTCCCTGACAACTTCCGTTTAGTAACATTGACGTAGGCTGCAAATGACCATCTATTATAGGCGACGCGTTCTGTGTTAATAAACTGCAAAGGCAATAAGATTATCTCGAATTTCGTGGTTGTGTGAAAACTGCAAACAGGCGAAGTCATATGGCCCGGTGGGTCACAGATTCAGCTGTGAGGAATTGGTGCGAATTTGGTGGCCGAAAGTAGAAGCTTCCTCTAATGGAGTTAGGCTCTTATTGGTTCAGATGCCTTCCATGCTCAGATCGAACTTCCGCCCTCATTTGGGTACTGCTTATTTTGGACTGTCTTCATGGAGTGATCCAAAAGTAGCGCAGTGGCTTTCGTAACTCAGGTTCGCTCTTGTGAGTGGCTAAAACAGAGCAAGTTTGAATCTCATGGCCAAACAACTAGTTGTTACTTTAGCTCTGAATAAGCGGCGTTTGCCCACGGAGCCTGTAGTGAAACCGAACTCTCTCTTTGTTTTGCTTGGCTAAATATGCCTTGCATGAACTTGACAACTTTTAAATAAGACTTTGAACAAGCTCAAAATTTTACCGCATTTAAACATGCCAATTATAATCTTAAACCCCTATATTTAGAGTGTCAGATGTTAACTGGAACCACTCCCCCACATAACACGATAATTTTGCCTATGTCATGTTGAAAATACTTTCAACCAAACGTGATGCAGGTAAAAGCCTGGTCAGTGGTTCTGGTCCCAGACATGCAAGGACAGGGTTACAAATCTCCCGATTCTAGCCAGCGAAAAGGCCTAGGAATTCATTCAAGATAGACGCCGCTTGCGATACACCAAAAATGACATAAAATCTCAATAACAAGTAGCCAAAACGCTGGTTTCGGACCTAAGACTCCTCGTGGTTACAGCCTAATCTGTCTCATGTATGCCTGTCCGTAAAACGATCTCGTACATGTCTTTTGTATCCTAGCATTGAAACCGCATTCGAGCCCCTCGCAAACTCGCGTACAATCAACTCTTCATTGGTTGTCTTAAAATGAGGCAACGCATTCGGCAAACTAAGAGGCTTTTTACATCTTCACTTGGCTACACCAATAGAGAAAGGAGACAGCAAATGGTAGGCCACAAGACTGCTTGACCTTTCAGGCGGGCTCCACCAATACAATTCAAGGTTATGAATCTCTTAGCTCTATGCGCCTGAAAGCAAAGACATGAATGCACTTCCGAAGTGCAACCTTGAGTTTATCTTACTGTTTGGGGCAAAGTGACCAATTGGGTTATAATCACGCCAGCCAAACGACCTACTCGGCCAATCGGCGTCATGGGGACGCAAGTCTATAAATTGCCAAGGTTGGCCAGCCTTCCTCAACCTCGATTCCTCCGTCTCTTCTTCTCGCAATGATCACTGCTCCCGAACTCATCAAAAGCCTGGACAACGGCCACGGCAAGGTCAGCGGAGAGGCTCTCCTTAGCTCCGTCGACAAGATCGGCCTCACTGCCGACAAGGTCCGCAGCTACGTCGATGAGCACAAGGACGCCAAGGGTATGTTAGACGCCAGGGCCGTCACTACCTACCTTGGTACCCTTCACTAAATTGTAATATAAATTATGTTCCTTGCTTCGACTCGTGTTCTATCT